CAGACACAGCCAGGATTTTTAATGGTGTAATAATTTCTCTCTTATTGCAATTTTGGTTCCTCAAACCACAGTCCATGGAATAAAATTTGACATGCCAAGTGAAACGCTTGAAATAGCTCTGCCTGCTGTTTTGAAGACCAAACAAGTCATTTGCTGTGAAAGACAACAGTCAGACAGAGGCCAACTGCAATCTTGTGGCATTTCTCAGAAGGAAAAAAAACCCCAACACAAAAACGGTTATAAATAGATGAGCAAGCGATAACTGTTTTGATTTTTTTTTTTTTTTGTCAACAGATGACATTGTGTGACATCAAGAAACAAACTTGAGTTGTATGAGACAGAGGTACACCTGCACTTACAAAACGTACACTTTGAATGCTATTTGGGTGTTTAACAAGTGTTTCATTTGAGAAAAGATTGTGCTCAAAGCCAGTGTTAACTCCATATAGAACTCATGATTTGGTAGGCACACTAGGCAGTGGGCCTGAATAGGGTGGAGTGGTCGGGTGTTGGAATAGTCTACTGAAACATCTGTGCGGAGTATGGACTAGAAACCCCAAGGTCAAAATGGGGAAACACCTCCAAAGGTGGTGGAGAATGACCGAGCGAAGATCCTATGGGACTTCCAGATACAGGCTGACAAGATGGTAATGGTGAACCAACCAGATATCGTGATCATGGATAAAGGGCAGAGGAAAGCCGTTGTCGTGGATATCGTGATCCCAAGTGATGGAAACATCAGAAAGAAGGAACACAAGAAACTGGAGAAATACCAAGGGCTCAGAGAGGAGCTGGAGAGAGCCTGGAAGGTAAAGATGACAGTCGTGCCTGTGGTGGTGGGAGCACTCGGGGCTGTGACCCCCAAACTGGATTAATGGTTGCAACAGATCCCGGGATCAACATCGAACATATCAGTCCAGAAAAGCGCGGTGCTGGAAACAGCAAGGATACTGCGCAGAACCCTCAAGCTTCCTGGCCTCTGGTAGAGGACCCGAGCTGAATGGGGGATGGACACCACCCGAGGGGTGAGACGAGGAATTTCTATCTATCTATCTATCTATCTATCTATCTATCTATCTATCTATCTATCTATCTATCTATCTATCTATACACACATACATATATTATTGGTATAAATTACTAAAGAGCTCATTTGATGAAAAAAAGATGATGACAGTGAATAAGAAGAATGTCCCTGATGAAAGGAAGGGCCAAAAAAGCTAATAGCCGAATATATATGTCGTCAGTCTTTTACATTTTGTCATTGGTTATCGTGGAAAAAGTTTTTGACGAGACTACTTTTACCTCCCTCTTCTTCTTTTTATGTCTTTGATAGTAACTGTCAATTTGCTGTCTTGTGGAGGGACCCGAGCTGTTTTCTCCCCTCTCATCCATTCTCTGGGTCTCCTTGAGAAAGTATGCTGTGAAAAGACCTGATTATTATGAGATGGCACTCATGCTGCCTTTGCCGTCTCCTGATCTCTCCCCATCTACCTTGCGCTCTTTCTTTCTTGCTTCCGTTTTTCTCTCCCCCTCCCCTTCTATCATTTAATTTCATCTGAGGACGAGGACTGGTGAAGATACTTTCTCATTTTTTCCCCCTTTACTGTGCTGCTGAGTGCTTTCTCTGCTATTGTGTCCCACTAAAAGACTCATTACTGTCCTTCGCCTTTCCACGGGAAAAGTGCTGTTTCTGTGAATGAAGGTTTGACAGACGGCTATGAGAGGCAGATCGAGAACAAAGAAGAGCTAAATTTCCAGGTGCTGTTGTCGCTCTGAAACCTTGGCTTTTCACTGGAATGAAGGAGCAAAAACATCTCTGAATACACATCTCGTAGCAACCTTTGCTGGAATAATATTCAGCTCCTAAAACATTGAAAATAAGTCAAATATTTTTAGTCATGCGGGCACATGGCGCTCGCTTGGCAATATGCCATCAGTGAGAAGAAACATCACATGTAGTTAGTTTTAAAGTGAAATAAATTAAGTTTGGTAATATTATGGACTAGATCCAAGCAGGAGATGAGAACTTTATTGTCAATAAACTTTGCATGGATAAGAATTATAATTCTCTGTGCGCATACCAAAAGCTTTCTCAAATTCCAACTAACACGAGTGTTGTGGTTGAAAGAAAATGATCAGATTAAACATCCTCTGGAGAGTAAGCAGTCACCAAAGGTGTTTTTTCGTTGGAAGGAAAGTTCAAAATTAAAGCTTTTAAATGAAGGCAACGGCCAAATAGCTGGTTTTATCCAAACTTGACCCCATGTCCCACATGCTTGTCGAAGCTAATCTACCCGTATCTATGTACACACCATCTATTGTCAATCAGTCTTTGCTTGAGTCCCCAACACACCGAGGTGTGTGGGGTGGGGGGTGGGGGGGGCTGTAAGACAGGAGAGAACGATTACATTTTCACCCACATCTTACAAGCTCAAGATTACAGGCTTTTGGACAAAAAAAAAACACACACAAGAATGAAGGGGGAGCAAGATGGTGCGATGCATCATAACTGCGTGATAGTTTGTTCGATGATAGTACCAACTAATGATTGGAAAGGCAGATCAACCTTTCAAAGTCAGCCTTTCATGTCGATCCACACCAAGTAGAACAAAGTGAGATGCCTGTCATTTTGAAGACGCAAAGAGAAAATGATTGCACACCAGGCAGCTTCCATACAAAATGTGCACGTGTTGAACAAATAGGGCCGGATCGATGATTGGCTATGATTTCCGAGCGGTAAAAGCGGATGTCTTTGTATGTAAACCTGAGACCACGTAGGTTTGATGCCTACAACAGCTCGACGTGAGTTGATGATTTCGTAGCCATTTGTACCTGAGAAAGCTCAGATACAAACTGTTTGAAAAGCCGAGGCTTAAAAAATATGAACCAAAATCAAAACAAGCTGTTGTTTGCATAACCTGAGAGTGGATTTCATTTTGTTTAATTGCATCATTCCCTAATGCCTCGGAGATGACCCCAAAGTTGTTAGGGAGCATCTCACTTGTCTGACAGAAGAGTTACAGTATCATCAATTTCTTTTAGGAACGACTTTTAGCTCCTTGACTCTCACAAAGCTGCCAACCTCTAAAATTTCACTTCAAAAACAATTTGTCCGAATTTACACACACACACACACACACACACACACACACACACACACACACACACACACACACACACACACACACATTTTGACAATAATATTTGATTGTGACAGTGATTGCTGCATATTATGCAATAGGATGAAAATAATTATGCATACTTTTCAATTGGACAACACAATTGTTGCTCCATAATTCTTAATAAAGTATGGCTTCATTATTTGTTATTCGTGCTGTCACGATACCAACATTTTCACTTGAGAAAAATGAGACCAAGATAAATAATTTCAGAACTTTTTACACCCTTAATGTGAGATCTAATTGGTAAAAGGCAATCAAATTGTTTAAAAATATGAGTTGAAGAAAAAAATAGACGGTCATGTGGTTGCACAAATGTGCATAGCCTCTTCTGACTGGGGATGTGGCTGTGTTCAGAATTAAAATCCAAACTCAAGTTGAAATCATCGATTTGTATTTAAATACATTATACTTGTTTGAAAATAATCGCTAAGAGCATATGCGAACACAGAGAACTATGTACCTGTAGTAGTGAATTACGGAAAATATCACATGATACTGTTTTTAGCATTTCTTTTTCTCATATTTTTGGGCATGGGTAAAATGGCACCGAGTGATGGTGCATCGGCCATTAGTTGCCCATTAGTGCCCCATTAGTGGCCTAATGAAAAGTAAATGCTGTATATACTGTCGGAAGACACATTGTGTCCTCACCACTGATTCTCAGCTGATTTGTGTATCATTTTACGATTGACATCTTGTGAACATCATTTCATAGCATAAAAATATATATTATAATTCAAAGATGATGATAATCAGCAATATCATTACATTTCACCTGAAAGCCAAATATCCTTATTTTTTGTGAGTTGTGTATTTCTCTCTCTCTCTCTCTCTCTCTCTCTCTCTCTCTATCCATCCATCAACAAAAATAGCACATGCTAAATTGCTAAATAAATTCAAATATGGCGTATGTTCAAAGAGGGTATGTGTAAGTGAAATTAATGAGGGGGATGTGTGGATGTGTGTGTGTGTGTGTGTGTGTGCGTGTGTGTGTGCGTGCGTGCTGGATGGGGTGAATGACTTTATGAGGCAACTTTCAAAGGTCTTTACCACTGAACTTTTCATTGCAGAGTGACATGTCAGTCGCCTTAATGTGAATCCCTTCGCTCTATTCCCTGTTTCATTCTGCCATCCATTTCCCTTTCACTTTCTCTCGCGACTTGTCTTCCCTTGATCGCTGCGACCCCTTTGCCTCTGTTCTCTGCCTTCCTTCTCTGGCTGTCTGGCAGTAAAGGTTGATGGAGTGTGAAATTAGAAAGTGTATCATATTCTGCTCTGTGGCTCAATGTCCTGAGCTATAAGCTACAGCTCGTCACAGTGAAAAATACCATGCACTGAAACAGATACATTAACATGGTGTTTGTGCGTGTCTGTGCAAGTCCATGCACGTGTGTCAGTCAGCCAGTGTGCGTGCTCGTGTGTGTGCCGGTTTATCCAGTCATCGCTTATCTTAGATGACTTACCACTGACACGTTGGCTTTTTCTGCATGGAGAACGCAAATATGTGTACACGACTTGTTTTTATTTGCACCTCACTGTTGTGCCTACTCGAACCACCTGAATTTATGATCCCGTAAGGATCTATAAAGTGACGGAAGCTGTAGCAACCTCCTCGTTATACACAATTTCATTGAAGCTAAAATTCAAAGCTGAACACAATATGCAATCGTGGAAAAAAGAAGTACGTGATATTTGTGTTGAACAAATAACCGGGGGTGTAAAGAAATGAACATCTCAGATTTGATTGCTGAAGTACAAAAAATGTCAACTAACATTGAAAGTATGTATTTATTGTGTGCGCATGAATGGGTGTACCTTCATCAAGCCAGACACTTCTCCTTTTTGAAGTGGAGCAGCAATGGAGGGAGTGAAAGGTTTTATGTCTTCCACTGGTCGTCCTTTCAGGAAGTGTTTTCCTGCCTCGTAGATGTCTACTTCAATCATTTTCCCTTTGAACTCGAACCTCTTGGGAACCAGTACCTGTAAAACACATATTGTAATCAATCGATCAATGGTGATTATCTTAAAAAGCAATTGTGGACAGTTCTCTACTTCTGACTTGTAGGGAATATTTCATTGGCTATCTTGGAAGAATTTGGTGTGTAGGAGGTATCATGCCATCAGGTGACCGTGACCTCAAAACCGTTTTTATGGATGTATGGACAAAAAAATATTCTCACGACACCTTCATGGTTCTCCGCAATTACAACGTAGCATTGTGCTTGCATCTTATTACACTATTTTCAAATGTAATTTCAATGGAGTGTTTCAGCATTTCCGATACCACGTTCATCTTGTACTCACTCTTTTCCCAATACATAAAGTTGTGTGCTATCCTCTACATAGCAGAGCAGAAGAAGTGAAATGATGGAGCTGAAATGTTACCGCTGTGGCGGCGCATTTATGCCCGGCTCAGTGCTAATCTGTCAGTCTTTATCCAGTGGCTGGAATATGATCGGCCGTGGCGTCTACCTGCCAGCGCCACACCTCCCTAATCATCACACCTGCTGCTCACCACAGTGTGTGTGTGTGTGGGCGAGAGTAAGCAGGCAGCAAACTGAGAGGTTTGAAACAGTGGACGTGGAGGAGGTAGGTGACATTGTGCATATTGGTGACAATCATTTGAGGACCATTAAAGGGAGATTCAATGATGAAAAAAAAGCTTGTCCCATGTCACTGGAAACCCCCACTGCAACACCCCCCCCCGCGCTCCCACAACCTCCTTGCACACGCAGGTGAGGCAGCTGCTTATTACAATTGTCAGGTTAAAGCGAGATCGAGTGATTTGTTCACACTCCCTTTCGGACCTTCCCTTCGTCAACCCACCCAACAGCTTTGCACATCCATTTCATTGCCTCCACTGCTCCTCCCAGCTGACCCTTGGCCTCTCCTTGCTCGCTCCCCCAATGGACCCATTTCTCAGAGTTCAGCAGTCCTGTGTTTTCTTTCATGTTCCAAATGACAGATTTAGTCATCCGGTGGAACTTCTTCTTACTTAGACTTATGAAATGTACAATAATTAACACGGCAAGCAAATTCTTAGTGCATCCACTTCAAAGTCCTGAGGTTGGTGGCTCGAATTTGGGCTCCGGCCTTCCTGTATGACCTTTGCATGCTCTCTCAGTGCTTGCAATGATTTTTTTCGGCTTTCTCCCACATTCCAAAAAACACGCATGTTACATGTATATACTCTAAATTCTCCGTAGGTGTGAATAGGAGTGTCAATGCTTGTTTGTCTTTAAGTGCCCGGTGATTGGCTGTCGACCAGTGCAGTGTACGCTGTACATCCGCTTCTTGTGTAGAGTCGGCTTGGATAGGCTTCATTTGATAGGACCCGGAGAAAACCCAAAATGAATGAATGAATGAATGAATGTAAAAAAACACTGTTACTTCATCCAGACAACAAAGACAAGTATAACAAATAACGACTGATATAGAAAGCGCTGTGGTCCTGCCTGAAATGATGACGTCTCACACGATGACTCTGATGATACCAGTTCAAACTTTGGCATTTTGTGTTGCTTTACATAAAATTTTGGTCGGATTACAAATGCTACAACGTCGGATAATTCAAATTCAGAGTCTGGATATAGTACATGCCACTTCAGAGATATTGCGGAGACTCAAGAAGGTTGAACAGTTTGGAATCGCTCTTAAAATTTGACTCCCTTTTCTGTTACATGTTGTCAAACGGGTATCAGCAACACGATCATAACAGTTACAATTACAAAACAATTACAATTTACAATTAACAAGGGCGATTTGCCCAGTTGCAGTTATGACATTTAACTAAAGTACAATCTTATGTAAGAGTACGCTGGTAACTTGACTTCTGAACTTTTGAATTTGTGACGAAGCTCATACCCATTAATCCATCCCAGCCTCTGATAAACCACCACATTCTTTTCTTGCATGCTTCCAATGAAATAGCAGTCCGCACTCATATGCGTGCGCACACGCTTTCACTCAAACACAGTTGTGTTCGTGTGTTAGCCTGACATGATATCATTATAACTATATGGAATTATCATTTGATAAATGAAATGGACACAAAAGTCATTTTCCGGACTCGATAACGGGTCATTTGCATGCTCCTTTGTTCCCATACGTCATCAACCTTCCATCAGGCTGATTTGTTCCCTCTCCTGTCAGTCGCCGTTGCTTGCCGCTGGGCGAGTTGGCACTCACACGCACACAATCGGTGGAAGGGCTTCTGAAAACCGTTTCAATGCTTTGGTTCGACGGTTTTAGTTCGGTTTGCATGTGTCCCGTTGGTTCTTTGGAACATGAATTCTTAAATATACATTTACAGCACATTTCCAAGACAAGTTAACGTGCTTCACATAAGCAAAGTCACAACACCTAAGCATTTACAAATGCACAAGTTGATGCCATTCAGAAGCAAAGTAAATAAAAGTGCGTTTCCAAAATTAGAAAGGGAATATACTATGACAACACTGAAACACACAAACCAGGAATATATCTTTTTTCTAAATATGCCAGGGCAGTATCGTGAAAGGCAAAGAACTCAAATCCTCCCATTGGCTTCCATGAGGTACAATCAACTGGTGCATCACATTGCTGCCCTTCATCCAACAGAATAAGTCACTGCGCTCCCTGCAAATATCTCAGCTTTGTATTCAATTACAAAAGCCCCGATTTCACACTTAGTACCTTAGTGACTACATTGAGCCCAGGCTCTGTATTATGATATTCATACTTTTTATTGTTTTTGTTTGGTGGTTAATTGGGAGGTTTTTTTCAAATGTAAAATGTTTTCCAACTTATCTAATTTTTAATTTACTCTTTCCTAAATAAAAGCTCAACTTGTGAATTAAGTACTATATTATGCATATAGACTGGCGTGTTTGTATTAACACATGATTAACAGATGATTTAAAATGAGCTGGAATCTCTCCATTGCGAGATCTTGCATTGGAGATGCAGACTCGGGAGGCTGGTCTTGCTGTCAATTCTGGTGTTGGAAAAGGGTATCTGGTGCATTTTTATTTTATTTTATTTTTTTAAATCATGACAAACCTACTTGTGTGTTGATGTCTGCCTTAGGGCATTGGCTCTGGTTGGCCATTTACAGCACCACTCAGCTAGTTTACAAAGCACCTAAAAGTGCATTGGCGTCAGTAGCCCTCCTTATTTTCCCCTCACGACTTGAGCTGAAGCTCACTCATAAGTTTACAACACAAAGTACAAAAGAAAAAAAAGACCAAGGAACTCAAAAGCTCGCATGCTGGCATTCTTAAGTCACAATTTTAACAGAGAATGGATGAATTTAATTACTATTATTTATAATTGGAAACATGCAGTGGAAATCCATACAAATCAAATGATTGATTTTGACAAGGCTCTCTCAACAACAGGAAACACTTTTTCTTGAAGAATCAACACATACACACGACACACATGCCCACATGAGCACTCATGCACCTGTGCGAAGTGTGCGAACGCACAACATATGCATGGAGCGTGAAACGTGCAACCTGAGTTCATAGCATGCAAAAAAAGTACAGTAGGTGCTGAGGGGGTGGGCAGGAGGGAGCAGGAGGGAGGGAGCAAGGAAGGAGGCGGAAAAAATACTGCCATCCGCTGCCCTCCCTGCTAATAAAAAGCACAACTTCAAACATGTTTCTGATGAGAGTTAAAGCGCGGAGGAAATTGATTTATTTGAAGATGTTTTAAAGTTAATTTTTCACAGGTTCAGAGAGGTTCTTTGAAGCCACGTTCGCTGAACAGCTGTGTGTGCGTTGGATGGAATGTTCATGTCTTTAGGGCTGATGTTCATACATTTGAAGGGAAAAAAAAAAGTCATTGCTGCCAAATGCTCTTGTGACCACCGTAGGGTGCGGGTGCACATTTGAGAGAGTGTGTGTGTGATATTCCAGCTTAACCTACTTTATTTGGTAGACAGAGAGCTGAAGCTGCAGGTAGTGGCACCTTCATGTGAGAATTCAAGTGACATGCAGAGCAAAGCCGCTCGCTCATCTGATGTGTTCAGTGTGAAGAACGAATTGATAGCATGAATAAAATAAAAGCAATTGAAGAAAAAAAATACTAATCACTTATAAGTGAAGCTTCTTCCCACACTGAAGATATTCCACAAGAAAAGCTTACTTACGGTAGCTTGATCAAGAGCAACATTTGTACTTTTCAATGTATATTTTTTTTAATTGTTAAATGTCTTACCTGCTCATAGAACTTGTTGTGAGCCACATAATATTGGGTATCAAAGGACTCTTCGGTCACCAACACGTGTTGTCTCTCCCCAACCTACACACAGACATAAAAGGAAAATGTTTTATTGCCTGCGCTGTCCAAAAAAGAAATGTCAATCATACTAACACTAAAAAAAGAAACGAAAAAGACAGGATTACGGGATTGTAATTTTTCATGTTGTCTTCTTTTATTTCATCATCTCTTCCAAGTCTTCCAAGCCATTGGTTTGACTGACTAACACCAACACATTTGCTATTGTGTTTTGCTCTAACATTTTACACAGGCATTCAAACTTTACTTTAACCCACACAAGAAAACTTGATTACACCACATGTTTGTGCTCATCGCGATGTCAATTCAGTCAAAGTTTCTCTCTTCAGTTTTCATTGCACCACAATATTTAATTACAACCTCAAGGCTCCTGAGCCACTTCAGTTTGGGTGGCTTGCTTCAGACTTTTCCGCAGTATTCATCCCCATCCCTTAGAAATGGTTAAAAAAAATGGATGAAAGGAGAATGGAAAAAAAAGCAAGGCTGCAAATTAAATACAGAAAAGGCCCATTCAGGATAACAGCAAATCAAGGCAAGGCGGCAAGGCCGCTTCGCTTTGCGATGCACAATTCTTTCGACTGAGCCATTCAGTGTGCTTTAAAGAGTCAAGAAATACAATCATGATGTGAGAACTGTGCAAAAGCACACAAGGGCCTTGCAAAATATGAAAAGTATGTCACAACAACTGAAATGAAAAATTTACACATAGTAAAAGATACAACAATTACTATGGGGCTCTTAGGATGGCTTTCTCAAAGAAAATGAATGTTTTTGTGATAGTTAATTTTCTCTCACATCAACTACTGTAGTTAGGTAATCCGGCTATTTTGCATTTTCACAATACTGCTTCAATTTGTTTTCTTTTTGCCTCTTTAAGAGGCATTAAGCCAGCCCAGATGGCCAAAGGCTCTCATAAGGATCACACGGCAAAAACAGATGTATACTACTTGGGTCTGTGGTGTGGAGATGAGGAGCAACATATTGGAGGCAGTTCATGAATGACTGCTAGCCTGGAAGTGAATTGAACGAATTAATGAAACGTGTTCATGTTATGCCCCTTTCCATTGTATCGGTTGTGCCCACCTACCGGTAGTTCCACCCTGTGTGGTTGCTTTTCCATTGCGTTTTTTTTCAGAGCTGTGTGGGTACTATGCCTCTGAAACACCGGTCCAGCATGGCCGGGGGTCATCACTGTCATGTGATTGGTCGACAAATGAAGGTGTTTCTTAAGCCATGTTGCAAGGAACGCCATTGCACACGCCCATTCCCTGGTTTTAAGTGAGAGAGAAACAGCCCTCGTGAAGCCCGTGAGCCGTGCGGAAATCGCTTCTTTCTCCGGTGCTTTCTTTTCACGCCATAAGGAATTGAAATACAGAGTGACCGAAAATGACGGCAAACAAGAACTGTACCTGCTATTTGTACAACTGATGATGCAATTGCTTTATTTATAATATAATAATAGTATTGGCCACACAAATTAATTTCATTTGCGAACAATTCAGTCACGTGGTCTAAATTTTATCGCCTTTCCCAATTGTGCTCCAGATGTCCAGGCACCATGGTGCCTGAGCCACTCCTGCATGGAGCGTGCGAAACTGTGAGAAGCAAAATACAGTTTTTGCTGTTCACATGACCCGAGAGGACAAAGTGAGCTTTGTCTGAGAACCACAAATCAAAAAAGTCCCAGTTGACATAAAAAATGTTTACAAAGCCAATGACAAAGAACTTCTCTTTTGTCCCTATAGCCCTGGGTGAGCTACTGTTTAATCTGAAATTTTTTAAAGGTCCAGGTTTTGGTCCATGAACAAAATCCGCCCCAGTGATTCCCAAGGAATGTCGAGCTCCAAGTTGTGCCTCCAAATTGATTCCTTAGTGACTGAGTCCCTGAGAGCATCAATACCCCGAGCAACCCTCACACTCAAACGTCATCGAGTTTGCACCCCTTCAGATCAGAGCTCAGGTCCGAAACAGTTCCCTTGGTGATGACCTTACCGACCCACCTGGAAACTACCGTTTTGTCCAGGTCAAAATTGAAATTGAACTTCCTTCAAACGTATGCAAAGCGCAGATTTAAATGACACTTTCTGAAAATACAAATAGTCCTCTACTCACTTATCTACGGCAATTTCAGAAAAAAAAAGCTGTTCAAGGTAAGGTGTTCTCCCTTCCTTTAGAAAAATCGAGATGAATCGCATTATGATTCGCAATTTTATCATCCGTAGTATGGGTTGCAATCATTTTGTACAAACCACTCTGTACAAACCACTTGAAGTCTCTTTTTTTTTTGTTTTTTTTTAATTAAGAAATATTGCATATTAAATGATAACCAAAATGCAAGAATCATTCTGGGACTGGATCCTGCAGATGAAACAACTTCAATGCAAGATAGAGCCAACAACACTAACCACCAAGAACCCCTCCTGCTACATATATATATATATATTTTTTTTTGTTTTGTTTTTTTTAAATGGTGGGGTATTAAATGTCCTGCAGGCCAAATGACCACGAGTTGCATTTTGATACTATTTGTACGGAGCTGTATACTTGAAAACCGAGCTGATTGATCACTTTCCAAGCAATCTGTCTTCGTAAGGCCTTAGAAGTAAGGCTGTGAAAATATGCATTTCCGCACACATCTGCCGCCTACTTCCTCCTTTCCCCTTTGAGTCTTCAGGCATATGCCCTTCAATCTCTGGGCTGTCCGTAACGTTGCAATGTGTGTGTTCCAACACAGCCACCACCTGCACAAGCATGCGAACAAGCTCCAAAAGCCTAAATACATCACACACTTTAAAGCACATTTCGGAGGATACAAACCCTTTGAACGTGATTAACGCAAGGCAAACATTTGGATTTTTGCTACTTCGGATTGGAGGCAGATGTTTTTTTTCTTTGTGGGACTTCACATCCGTAGCTCGTGAGACTAAGTACTTTGTTTTCTGATTTCAACATCTGAAGAAGCCTTGTCGACTTAAGTGCATATTGTCTTAGTACACATAGTACTGTAAGTACAAGGCCGGTTATTTGTATTTTTAAATCGCCCAGATGGGCAGTGGGTGACCAGTCTGAGACTTTTCATTTTTAACCCATCAATGTTGTACTGAGATTTAAAGATATATTTTGGTGGAGACTGAGATGTCCACGATGCGTGTGAGTGTGCATTGTCCTGCCTTAATAATATCCAATCCCCACCTAAATAAGCAGCAAGCAGGAATGATCTTGGCTTAGTGTATGTGCGAATGGGATTAGCATGCATGGACAGATCCCCTGCATTGGCAACGACATGTATGGAAATACGTTTGCGGCAAATCAAAAGTTGGTGAGCTTCCCGTGTCAATTACGCAGTGAGTGCTGTGTGTTTGCATGCAAAATAATTTAAGTTTGTCTTTGCTAGTGCGCTTCCTGCTACAGACTGACCATGTTTGGATTCGTGTTTACTCAATCAGTTGACTCGCAGGCCACCAAGCAGCATGTCTATGCACAGGGAGTTTTAATTTGCATCAACATCCAGAAGACGACATCCCACGGTGCATGGCAGATCCGCAACAGATTTATGGGATCATGAGTTTAATTGCTAATTAATCCACATCATAACATGGGTAATGACAGCACCGTGGCTTTGAATTTGTAATCAATGTTTTTTTTTTAATTTTTTTATCTGTGTCATAAATAAAGGAGCAAGTCACTCAAACGGCATCCGAAATCCCTTGCCACTTTGTTGGCTTTTTCAGCGATGCAAACAGAATAACGACAAACCATACGGAATGGCAGTTGGACTGCTGCAATCAATTTACGTGGGAGGAGGGTGTGGAAGCAACACCAGTGCATACAAACAATGGAACGCTTCTGAAGAAAGTATACATAGGGCTGGGTATCGATACAAATTTCCTGAATCGATTCAATTTCGATACACAACAGCACAACCTAAAATAATAATAATAATATAATAATAATAATTATAATAATGATAAAATATACATTTATTTTATATTTATAGCTAATTTGTATGTTTCCTCCAAGATTACACTGCCCTCTTATCTCTCTTGTTTGACTGGAAAAAGAGTCTAAAAAGATCCTGCACCTCCACCAATGCATAATTCTGTCTGAGTAATGCACACATTTTTATTTCTTCACCCATCACTTGAATTCATTATCTACTCCTTATCTCTCCTATGCACACTTTCAGCCGACTGTGTAACACATTCTCACAAGCCCAGTGGAAACAGTGTGGAATGTGATTGGCCTTCCTCCTGTCCAACCAATGCTAATTTATTACATACATAAAAATCAACACCTCTGAGCACAAATCTGCGGCTCCGCTCAAAGGGAGCCCTGTGTGGCTCCTCGAAGGCAGAGTTGAACTATCATTGTGAAGCGGCAAAATACAGACTCGCTTTTAGTGAGCAGACCACAGACGAGAGAAACATTTGTATTTGAATATGTGGAACTATAGATGCAAAATTACTCTCTTCCCAAAATAAACTGCCTTGAGAGACATACAGTACAGATTAATGCAGTTAAAGTGGAAAACTAAAGTGAAAAATAGGATGTGAGATTGACCCTCACAAACTCAGTTCAAATAGCTCTGAATCAAATCTATAGCGGCAGGGAAAATATGATTCAAAGGTCCAACAGGAATGATAACACAAGACACCATGCAGAGACGATCAGTTTCTCTCTCTTGCAAGCCAACTTTAAATTTTCTGACTTTTATTTTCTATGATTATTTTTTCTCAGGGGACTCACAGACAATGAACCAAAAGCAGAACAAGATTCATTCTTTGGTTCAAGATTCTGAACCAAAGAATGAAATGGGAATAATAATAGGAAGTCCAAGATGGCGCCCGAGTAGGCAGCCGTCGGCAAGTGCTCTCATGAGCCTTGCTTTTTTTGTTGTTTTTCTGTTTGTTTTGTCACTTTGTGTTTGTTGTTATGTCGTGTGGACCTGATGTGGACTGTTTTCAGCATTTTTTGGCCACGGCATTCATCAAGGAGGACACTTG